CCTCGAGAATGTTTATGGATCTCACCGGAGGACATTGACTGATTACAGTGACCTCGAGAGCATCTGTAGGCGTTGTTGACTGGTCTCGTCTCTTCCTTCTTATGCTCTGCAGAATGTCTACGTAAATATGTGCTTGTTTGTGCGAAGTGTTTTTCCAACATTAGGGGTTTTTCTCAGCCAAGAAAAAAGTCTGATAGGAATTTTTTTCGCCTCCAATTTCCTACATGTGTCCAGTTAACCACTGTTTTTTGTCTGTCCAAACAGGTCTCACTTGTAAACGAGTCTTTGAGGCTCAATGTGATTTATCTGTTTAAATAAAGGTTGAATGAATTTTGTTATTCAGTTAACTTTAGTCATGCATAATCTTCATCAGATATATCACAGATTATTATTTTTGTAATAAAATGCATAAAATCAACTAAATGTGTGATTATTTTGGCATATCTTTGTGTATTATCTGATTTGATGCCCTTTAAACACGAGAAAGAACTCACGTTTTAGTTTACATTTAATTTGGGGTTAGAGACTTAATTTTCCTCTCAAAAGAGGTGGTGCCCAAACAATGAGGTTATTTGCATAATAAATGCATATCTTATGAGCTTAACTCATAACTGATAATTTACAATATATATCCAGCCCCATATCCCTCTACAGAGGCAACTTTAAAAATTTCACTAGAGCCTGATTTATGTTTGGACTGTTTTTGTCCTGTTGAGCTCTCTGAATTGTCAAAAATAATAACCTCATTCAAACCATCCACATGTCTGCTATAGATCCCATCCCAACCAGACTGTTTAAAGAGGTATTTCCCCTAATAAATGTCCACATTTTGGATCTACTTAATTTGTCTTTAATGAATGGTTATGTACAACAGCGCTTTAAGGTTGCTGTAATTAAACCTTTACTTAAGAAGTCTGACCTTGATTCAGAAATTCTGGCCAACTATAGACTTATATCTAATCTAACTTTCATCTCAAAAATTCTAGAGAAAATAGTTGCAGGTCAGTTGTGTGAACATCTACAAAGAAATAATCTGTTTGAAGAGTTTCAGTCAGGGTTTAGAGCTCATCATAGCACAGAAACAGCACTAGTAAAAGTCACTAATGATATTCTCATGGCCTCAGACAATGGATTGTGTCTATACTGGTCCTGTTAAACCTCAGTGCTGCATTTGATACAGTTGATCACAATATTTTACTACAGATGCTTGAATATGATGTTGGAATTACAGCAACAGCTCTAAAACGGTTTAAATCATATCTATCTGATAGATTCCAGTTTGTAAATGTAAATAATAAATCTTCTTCATACAAAGTACACCAAAGTTAGTCATGGAGTTCCTCAGGGCTCAGTGCTTGGGCCAATACTCTTTACTTTATATATGCTTCCATTAGGTAAAATTATTAAACAGCATGGGATATATTTTCATTGTTATGCTGATGACACACAATTATATTTGTCCATTAAACCCAATGAATCCAATCAGCTACTTAGACTACAAGCATGTCTTAAAGACATAAAAACCTGGATGACCCTTAATTTTCTCCTTTTAAACACAGACAAGACTGAGGTTTTTGTTTTTGGACCTGAGCACCTTAGGAATACATTTTTCAGTCTTTTCCCTCTTTAGATGGCATTAATCTGTCCTCCAGCTCTAATGTTAAAAATCTTTGTGTTATTTTTGATCAGGACATGTCTTATCCTCCACATTAAATTGTTACTAGAACTGCCTTCTTCCACCTGCGTAATATCACTAAAATTAGAAAAATCTTATCTAAAAATGATGCAGAAAAACTGGTCCATGCATTTGTCACATCTAGACTGGACTATTGCGATGGTTTATTATCTGGGTGTCCAAATACTTCTTTAAAACGTCTTCAGTGGATCCAAAATGCTGCTGCCAGAGTCTTAACTGGAGTTAGTAGGAACGATCATATCTCTCCAGTTTTAGTTTCTCTCCATTGGCTCCCTGTCAAATCCAGAATAGAATTCAAAATCTTACTTCTAACCTACAAAGCTCTCAACAACCTGGCTCCATCTTATATTACAGATCTTATTGTTCCATATTTTTCCAACAGATCACTTTGTTCTCAGGCTGCAGGTTTACTTGTGGTTCCTAGAATTTACAAAAACAGAATGGGAGGCAGAGCTTTCAGTTATCAGGCTCCTCTCTTGTGGAACAAACTTCCAATCTCTGTCCGTTAGGCTGACACATTATCCAGTTTTAAAACTAGGCTTAAGACTCTCTTTTTTGCTAAATCCTATAGTTAGGGTTGACTTGGGTTTCCTGAGCTGTCACATAGTTATGCTGCTATAGGCTTAGACTGCTGGAGGACAAACTGATCACACTTTTCACTCTGCTACCGTCTTTACTTACTCTGCTCAACATTTGTAATCATTTTTTCTATCTTTAACATGTGGTTTTTTTGTCTTTCAGGTACACCTGGACCTATATCTGGACCTACCATTCTGTGTTCGTCTGTCGCTCCTTCCTGTCCTCTCAAACCAGCCGGTCAAAGCAGATGGCCACTTGTCCTGAGCCTGGTTCTGCTAGAGGTTTCTTCCTTTTAAAAAGGGGAGATTTTTTCTTTCCACTGTTGCCACTGTGCTTGCTCAGGATGGGCGATTGCAACGAAGCCAAGATTCAACTTGTCTGCTGGCCTCCTTTGATAGAGAACTTTACTAATTGGCTTTTATGTCTGTGAATGTTTTTGTAAAGTGCCCTGAGACAACTTTGTTGTGATTTGGCACTATAAATAAACTGAACTGAATTGAATTTAATTGTTTTGATGTGAGTCATGACCAGTATTTTGAAGCATTTAGGGACTATCGGGGTGAGGGCCACTGGCCAGTAGTCATTCAGACCAGTCACTGTAAAGCTCTTTGGGACTGGGATGATGTCTGTGGTCTTCAAGTAGGTGGGAACTGTCGCCAGCTGGGAGGAGTTAAAGATGTCAGCCAGAACCTTGCAGAGCTGGTCAGCACAGCCTATCAGCACCTTCCCGGGGATGTTGTCTGGGACGGTTGCTTTGTGAGGATTAATCCTCCTGAAAGTACTCCTTACTTCTGCTGAGGTCATGCTGAGAAGCTCTTCATCCGGTGGTGAGGTGAGTCTGGTGCTGGGTGGTCTGTTCAGGTCTTCAAAGCGTGCGTAGAACTTTTTGAGGGCATCAAGCAGTGATGGTCTCTAGGGCATTGTTCACTTCTGACTTTATAATCTGTTATGCACTTAATGCAGATACTCATGATTTAATGTTGATTTGTTTATTTAGCTCCTTTTACTATTATAGTTTCATTATTTAAATCTTAAACATATTTATGTGCAAGCTTCTAGTTTGTGATACACTTAGGTCAAGGTATCAACTGTAGAGTTAAATAAGACAGTCCCTATTCCGTCCACTGATTGCATCTGTGACGTGGAACAAACAGGACACCAGCTCACAGTCACAAGACAACCATTTGATTAACCTCAAACCCAACTGGATCTGTGTCACAAATGATTTCTAATCTTTTTACAATAAATTAATGGAATTGATAAATAATGTTAATTTCATTGAACCATCATGTAAAACAGCTAAATGATAGACAAGGAAAATATATAGTTTATAAGTAATGATCTAAACTAGATCTGAAGTCGGTCAATAACTTAGACTTTTTAGCTGGTTGAATAATTTTGACTGATGAATTTGCAATAAACATTTTTAACATGTAAATTGTGTGTATGTAGGCTCTGCTAGTTGCAGCTAATTGCAATGTATACATTTTCAGGGTTCATGCAAAAAGAGCAGATATTGAAGATAATGAAGTGTTTTCATTCAAAATAAATGCATAACGTCTGATGTGTGTGTCGTTATAAAACCTGCACATCCTCCACGAGAGCAAATGGGATTATTATTTCTGGGTACTTCAGTTTCCCAAACAACTCGACAACTGTGTGTGTGTGTGTGTGTTGATCCATTCAGTCAGTCCAGAGCAGCGGCTTCACTGCTGGGGACGAGGCGCGAACGGAACAACGCATTTAACAGGTAAAAGTGTCTCCAAATCGAGCCACGCTAAACATTTAGACATGTGTTTGGATTATTTACGCACGCGGGTGCGTTTGTGTGTGTTTATGTCACGACACATGCGGCGAGCTGCTGTTTGGGAGCAGAGAGAGGCTGAGGTTGCATCTGCTGCAACAATTCCAGCGGTCCCCCCCAATTTACAGCCGAGCCAGCTGCCTCCTGCCTGCATTAAAGCTTCGGGAAACACCGTGACACTTCCCGGACAGGGTATTAGAAGGTGAAGCTAGTGGGAGAATGGCGGTCTCTCTCTTTTTTTAAACTTGAAGTATGTGCCTGCCACTGTTTATGGACGCGCTTCTGTCAGCTGAAGGTTAAAGATTGCCGATGGAGCTAGCCAGGTTAGCTTTAGCCTTGCGAAGCATCATTCTGTTCAGTGGAGCAGAGACCAAATTCCTATTAAATTACATCCTTTTTTATGTTCCCCCCGACCCGCAGATATATACAGAATGTATTTCTAACAATCATATTAAATGAAACGTTGTTATCGTGGCTTACATTCGGCTGGGTTATATTGTTACTCCAAATAATAATTACTGATATACAATAACTTGTAGAATAGCTTCACCTCAGCATAGTGTGTGTTGTGATGAGAGCAGCTCTCAGATTAAAAATACCGTTTGTATACTGGATCGCCTACACGCCGAATTTACCCAGAGACTTTCACCCATCTTTCTGTACACTAATTATATTTTTAAAGAAATGCGCATGTGTTGCTAAGTGAAACTCAAACTAGTTTTCTGAGGGAGTTTGGTGTTTACTACCCACGTCTGTGAACTGGCTGCACGCATCCGGGCCAGCTAACGTTTCACTCCGGCCCATCAGTCATTTTGTAACCACATCCTTTGGATCAAGCTGCTCTCGGTTCTGCTCGGATGGAAAAGAACCAAATGGAAATGAGGTGCAAGTACCCCCTTCTCCTCCCATTGGCAAACGGTGTCCAAGTTTAGTCTGTTTTGATATTTGCATGTTGTCAATTTGTCACACCTGCAGCATTTTTGCATGATTATGGCTGCTGCTTGACCTCTCCTCCTCCCTGCACATGCACGCGCTGTCGCACGGGTGGAGCAGCCACATTTGATGTCAGTTTTGCAGAATTTGACAAATGTTACTGAATGTTGAATCTGAGCAGAGATGTGGGGTGAGATTTGTGAGGGTGAGGCACTGGAATTGGTTGCTCAAATATATGAACCCAAAATAGAAGCTTATATTTCAAATTAGCATTTTTTTAAAGGCATCTAATTATGCTTTAATCAACTCTATACTCCTTTCTTTTTAAATAAATTAAAAATATGTTTTATCTTACCTTTATTGTAAGAAGAATGTGGGTGGTGGGTGTGGCAAGATGGCGCCAGCGTGTACCGGCAGTCATCTACCCACCTTGTCAGATTTGTTACTTATGGCTGTATTGTTTTATATATTGTGCCAAGATATCTGTGGACTGTTACTGTTGGACCGGCAGGCACTTATTGATCTAAATCAAGGATACTCATTGCGCGGCTCCTGAGCCACATGCAGCTCACCATGCTTTATTGGTGGCTCTTGTGACAGGTTACAGCAATACACCAGCACAGCCAATACATTTTTAAAATGTGCTGGTGCATTGTGCAATAATTGCGCATATTGGCTCGGACTTCTTTGATGCGGTTTTACGAATAATTATTAATGTACTTGTTGAGGAGGAGGCAAGTCTGACCAGCCGGTAGAGGTAAAAAAAAAAAAAGTCCTTTTAAGCTTCAGATGGATCAGCTGATCATCGGCTGCGTGTGTCCGTTGACCCGCCGGTCAAAAGACGTTAAAATAACTCCCTGCAATTTCAGATGGATCAGCTGATCATCACTGGCCGCACGCCGCTGCTGACCCGCTGGTCAAAAGACGTAAAAAAAACCTCTCTGTAATCTTGGATGGATCAGCTGATCATCACCGGCTGCGCGCGCCCACTGACCCGCTGATCAAAAGACGTAAAAAAATGTCCTGTTAATCTCAGATGTATCAGCTACTGGCCGCACACATCTCCGCACCTGCTGTCATCTGCAGTAAAGGAAGTAGGAGCATCTTACAGGGCCGGTTCTAGGCATGGTTACATGAGGGGGCAGGCGGAAATGTGATGGGGGTATCTTCATCCGTACACATATTACAGCATATTCATTTTTGAGCATGGATTTTGGTATTCATTGTTGTTGACTTGTTTTCTTCATGGGATTGGGGTAATAGCTGAAAGCTGAAATTTATACACCTGTGAGTCAACATTTTCAACCATGAACACTATCTAGCAAAACCAGAGTAACCGACTGACCCATGCCCATCTTGAATGCCTCACTATGGTTGCAACAACAAATAGACCTTTTTCACGACAACTGGAAGTAGCGTCTCATGGTGCTGGGTTACTTCCGGCTTTCGCGAGTCTATGCAAATGCCAGGCTTTTCTTTCGCTGATGTGGAGGAAATCGCAGTGGTGAATTCTCGAATCAATAAACTTGAGAAAGGATAAAAGTTCTTCCATGAAGAATATATCCACAGCTATCAAGGTAAGAAAAGACGTCGCTTAGCGAGCTAACCATTAGCTACAACATATGAAGTACATAAACATTGCAATAAAGCCTAATTTAGTGTGCTAAATTATTTGGAATATTTGAGACAGATGTGGTATAAACTTTTAACTGATATTTTAACATTCTGATATGTGTTTGCCATTACAATTTGTGAAAGAAAACGTACTAGATGTAAGATGCTATGATGCTTGATGTTCAAATTGTGCTTCTGCATAACTACAGGTCAAATATTGTCGAGGGACAGGTAGTTGTCAGAGCTAGATGCTTCAGATCCATGAAGAAAAATAAGGAACCACACAGACTGCAGGTTTGTAACAGTCAGAAAGCCGGTTGGCTCATGTTCATTAGAGTTCCTATTCATTTATGACAGCTGAAAAACTTTGACATATGATGGACAACTTATGTACTACTGAGAGCTTACAGTAACATCTTCCTGTTCAGTGGTTAGTTTGTCTTCTGTTGTAGTAGCAGCAAAGTCTGTTTTGTTCTGCTGACGTTTCAGCTCATCTTCAAACTAGAATCTATTACTTGTTTAAAGCTAAATATGTTATAACAAGTATGTGTGCTAAAAACAGTTATCTGTTTTAGATCTCACTGGGTGACAGCAGGAGAAAAACTACGTCAGCTGAAGTACCAACCACTTATCGCTCTTGTCCTAGATGGTCTCTAAGCTTTGGAGCTGGTACCATCCAGATTTGGGCCTGTGCCACAGGGCTCACAGATGTCTTACCAGTGCCCACCTGAGAAGTCCTGTGTAGCATCATTCTGCTCCACACTTCCCTGCTCTTCCTCCGATGCTGCAGTCTTCCCATGTTTTGTGTCCACACTTCACACATCTTCAGTCTCTGCAAGTGTCACTGGAAACGTCTTATGAAACAGAGACCAGAACCAGGGAGCAGTCCAGATGTTCTGCAGGAGTACATCTTCTACAACCAAGGCTTACTGCGAGCTGTTTCCGTGTTGCAGAAGAAGTGTGGAGTCTGCTGACATGTTTTACTTCAACACCTTCATCCATGTGTTTATATCAATGCAGTAAGAATCATAAAATGTACAAATCACACTTTTGTTCCTTCATATTTTTAATATTCAGTCTCAAGCTGTGAATCACTGTAAATACTGTAAATAGTAGTTACTCATGAAAAATACATAAATGTGCCAATTTCTTTAAAATAGCATAATTTTGGGAAAACATCTATAATCCACTATCAATTTATAGTGTACAGTTAAAATGTTAAATAGTTAAGTTTTTTTGTTGTTTTTTTACTAGATATTGTAAATTACACTTGTTTTCCTTTCAATACAACTGAATCAATCCACAAATTAAATAAAAAACAGTACAGTATGCTGCTCAAGTGTGTTTTAATTGAAGAATGTTTAAAATAATTCAAACCCTTTAAATAACTAATTACATAACACTAGAACAATATGTAACAAGCTTGGGTGTGGATGTTATTTTTATTTTATAAACTTACTGCAACACCACCTTAGGACTTTCATCCAAGGACATAATTTATACACAGAAAAGACACTTGGGTTTGTCTACAAGTAAGCAGGAGATTGTTCCAAGATACAATATAAATTTTATTAACACTAAGTTAAAAATCTATTCTAATGGAGGCAATAATGATTCTTATAATAAATATTCAGCCAAGGCAGAGGCTTTCCAGTGGTCAATCAACTAAAAGACAAAAGGATGGTTCAAGGTAACATGAGCAGAAATTCACCCACAAGCTGTGATGCACGAGACACGAGTGGAACGGAACCTACACGAGACTGGACTGCTGCCTTCAACCTGGATCATAAATATGAAATTAAGTAAACAAAAATAAATATGAATAATATTTAAGAATTACAAAACAAACATGGGCCTCACATTCACATATAAAAATAGTTGAAAATGGCCCCAGCCTTTAGTTCAGCCAGCCAATCTTCTCTCAGGTAAGACACTGCCTAATTATGGTGACTCAAGCAGGAGTGAGAGTCCACCAACGCAGGACTGAGCAGAATGAGGACAGCTGGGAGTGCACCTGTAATACCACAAAATAAAATACGGTTAGCAAGATCATTTCAATTATTGAGCTTATTCACATTATTATTATTGTTGTTGACATTATTTCCGTGAAGATCAATACATTTTGTGAGTCAGTGCATGTAACTTGATCTCTCCAGGACTTACATGACAAGTTTATAATGTACCATCTTAATGTGATAGTTACCTGTGGGTGGATGTGCCACCAGGTGAAGTGAGTTTCACGTGGACTCCAGTAGCAGCTTCAGCCTGGCTAGCTTTCTGTGAGAGGACAAGCTGCTGTTTCTGAGCCCTCAAAAAGCAGACTCCCTTTTTAGCTGGTGCAGTGAAATTATTCCAGGTGAAGAGTGAAGGAACAGCTCAACTTTTAAAGCAGCTGGTGG